AAACTGTTTTAACACTTGTTTGCCGAGAACACAGTTTTAGATAAAAAAGATTAATTGATTCACTGTTTAATTTAAATACAACGCTGCACAATTGGCTATGTGCGCTGTTACTACTCTAGGAATCGAACCCTGAAATTTAGCGTTATAAGTCCTCAAGCTCGATGAACCAAAAAAAAAAAAAGAAGATTGGTAAAAATCCTAACAATTTTGAACTTTCTACTCTGGTACGTTTGTATTAGAACATTTAAAACAGACCTAATTTTACATTACTACTGTTAATGTTGCCCCTACTTGATACAACGGTAAATTTGAGGGCTTATAACGTTAAAACTCGGGTTTCGGGGTTTGCGGTGGTCACAACACATTGCTTAGCTTTATGCTTCGTAGCAAACGAACTGAAAAATATATTTAACGAACAGAACAATGTAATTTCATGTTTTATCTTAATTTTCTCTAAGAAGAGTACACGGCTTCAGCACAATTATATATCAGTAACTTCACACAGTTCAATACGGAACCCCTCTTCACCGTGTAATACTTTCAATGAATTAGGTTATAAGTAAAGCTTACAAAGAGAATTATTACAGTGGAATCACTTTTAGTAAATACGAAGACTAAATAAGTAAAAAATAAAGTATAAGTCTTTGGGTTTCTTGTTTGTGAAGGTTAAGTATATTATTACAAACGAAGAAGAGACAGAACAATACAGTGTTTCCGGTTTTTCCACTATTGAACAAATGTCGTTCTACGCTTATTACAGCAACCGTACATGTCACATTGTGGACGGCTAATTATTGCTGTCAGTTTGTCGGGGTGTAATACACTGAACTCATCAATAACGCCCGTCCTTAACAGATCCACAGTTATGAAGAGTTGTGGATATACAACCGGACGCTATTAACGAAACAGTAATGATTGTAGTTAATGTCGAATAATGTTGTTAGTAGCATTCGTACGAAGAAAGCATGACATACAGTGGATATAAACTTATATTTGTGTGTGTAACGGTCAGCACAGTTTTACTTTCACAAGAAATCGTTTCCTTTAAATTGGAGATCCGACCAAGAAGTAATTATAAGAGTATTTAAAAGGCTTTCAAAATATGCACTTATAGTGAAATCAGTAATTCTGAATTAGTTTAATGTGATGTAATAAATAAACTTTTCCTCACTTTAGTATTATATAGTGGAATAGTGTACTTAATATTGTTTGAAAACACCTTTAGTGTACTTAATATTGTTTGAAAACACCTTTCGTTAAGAGATACTTGTTACATTATAGTGATACTGAAGCATAAAACAAGAGATTGTAAAAACAAAGCAAGTACCCAAATGTTAATGAGAGTTTTTCTACTGTTTAATTAATGGTTTCTCTTTATAAAATGTCACATTAAGGCAAAGTAATTGACTGTCTTTAGCAGCATTCATGCGTACTTGTCACAATAAATAACTTATGTTGTATTCCTATCAAAGAAAAATAAAAAGAACACCCCCAGAATTCATGTCTGTTAATTATAATGTAAAGCATATTTTAAGGTATATAATGCAGCTGTGAATCAATGACAGTAGCCTTTCAGACACATACATATATATATATATATATCTGAACAAAATCTTATATTTGACTGAAGAATCAGAAAAATGCACGTTATACTTGGAAATCGTAAAGTGCATGAATTATTTATTTCTAACCTATTCAATACGTATAATGGTTGGAGATGGCTTGAATGGGTAATGAAGAAAAACTTTAATATAAGTTTAACATAACAGCAAATGTACAACGTTTCGACAAGGTTTTCTCATCATTAGGTACGTGTATTTTTGTCTTTTTAGCCGTCTAAGTAATTATCTATTGTTTGTCCAGCTATATGACTATTTAAACTCACATCCTTACAATATCTGTATACCACTTATTTTCTAGATCAAGGAAGAGAGAACACGATTATTGCTGTTGAACCTCTCTTTATTTTCAATGCAAATTCAACCTTTGAACTTCTAATACGAATTTTCTTGGTGGGTTTTAGAGACCAATAACTACTTTCATCTCCATTGAATTGTTTACAGAAACAGATGAACACATAAGGATTATACGCATTTGTGAAGTAAATGTTATCTTACGTTGATGAAGGTAATTTGTGTTTAAAAGTGATCGTTAGTGAGAGATAAAAACCAACACATTTGTCTTTAAAATTCCCATCGATAGAATAAAAGTTAAAAGTTTTTAACTGAAGAAAATTTTATTACCTGCTTTTGCTTGATTATAGAGAACACACTTTTCGAACGTATGAGTTTGGGAAGGTTATGAACACAGTATCACATATTTCTGTGCGCCTTTTTAAAAATGTGAATAAATATTGAACTTTTTCAGAAAAAAAGTAAATGATTCTACATTTTACGTTTTGGATTTACAACAATGCTTTTTTTACTGTTGTATTTTATGTTAGAACAAAGTGCTAGTAAGGTTTTAATTTCTTCATACGTCTTGCTTGGTAATTACTAGGATCTGATAATTATCTATCATATGATAATTGGCTACCATAAATCTGGTAACCGAGATCATTATCGTTTGTGGACTTTCTCAAAGTGATTTATTTTTTATTAGTATAACACTAAACGTTAAAGCGAAGCTAGTTTATAAAGTTTGTGAATTCCGTTTAAATCAATGATCTACTTATTTTGTTATGTAGCAAACATAATAAAGCATAAATTATTACCTTATTTCCTTATCTAGATGACCATTAAGCATAGATCATTAAGGTAATAAAAGAAGATGGTAAAATGTGAATCAAGTGCAGGATATGACAAGGAGTTAATATTGATGATTACACTTTTATAAAAGACAATTATCTAGAAGCACCTACAACACTTTGTACTTTTGTTTACATTCACTGCAAACTTGAAAGTTGTTATGAACATGAGTAAGTCTACAATCCATCATTAAGAAGCATATACTTTAGTGAATTATCATAATTTAAGAATACATTGAAAGCGAAATCGTACAAATTGAGTTTAATATCTCATCATAGATATACAAATACGAGACAATCGAGAGGGTTTGTTGCTTTCTCAGTATTGATAAAAATGTACGTTAAAAGAACGAGATTTGTCTTTTTTTATAAATTATTTATTTTTCATTGTATGATATTTATTGAAGAGAAAAAATAAATAAAACGGTAGCAAGTAATAGGATTTACATTAAATGTACTTATAAATCACTTTTTTTGTGAAATTAATGTATTGAAATCAACTGAGGGGTAAATTCCGACAAGAAAAGTAAGAAAATCACGTTGACATTAGTGTTAATTCATAATAAATAACATTAATTATTAAGGCATAATAACTAGGATTAAAATCGTATTATACTTTGGCTAACGTATTTAGTAGAAATATAACTCTACGTATCTTTATACACAATAATCATCACCTGAATCTCCTTTTATACTGTCATTGAGTTAAATGTACAAACTTTTCTTATTGTCGATCTTTAAAAGCAATTTAGACAAAATTGCTTTAGCTTAATTAACTCCCTTATTTAGCAGCATCTTCCACGCTTCATTAGAATTATCTGAGAAGTGAGAGAAGTGTCTTTATCGAAATAGTTTCTAATGGAGGCACAAGTATATAAGATGTTCATGCATTTCCGAAGACTGTCATTAATTATAATGAAATTAAACGACGTTACTAAACCGTTATATAGTTAAACCTTTTTAGTAGCACATGTTCCTAGTAGAAGAAAGGAATATCCTATTACCGATATCTTAGGCATATCCTTTTACAATATTTAGAAATATCTTGAACCTGTATCACCCTTAGTTCTGAAACTTTAATAATTTCGTCTACATTTACAGAACACATCAAAAATGAGTCTATTTTATCCCTCAAACTTTTCTTACCGAACAGAATTAAGAAACGTAATGTAACTCTAACGTTGTATTCCAGACTATTCATAAAGTGTTTACAAGAAGTCATCTACTCATGAGCTAGAAATAAATATCAGTTGTAAATATGAAAACTTACACACACACACAAAAAAAAAAACTGGATAGAAAATTTCAATAGGAATGTTGGGTATAAAAAAGATACATAAATGTTGATATCATAGCATTAACACAATTACCTCATTTCAGTTATGAGCTGAGTAAAATATGTGCAAACATAATCTCCTGCCTGAGATGAGAACTTACAAATGCGTATTTTAGGTTTAAACACCGTATTATACTGTTTATGTTAAGGGTGTTATCGATTCGTGTAAAGTCGTCATAAATATAGACTTAACTGTAAGAAACAAACAAACAAAAAAAAGTAACATTACCCTGTCTTTGCAAAAGTGGTCCAGTACGCCAAAACGGCTTCTGCTAACGACATCTCTGAGCGCGAAAAGTTTTGTTGGAAATGTGCAAGGCTTCCAACTAAAGGAACACCAAAAGCATAAGGAAGGTCTTCTCCATGAATGCATCCAAATCTCTTTGGGAATTCTGAGTTTTCTGTCTGATGACCAAATACAAAAAGAAATGTTTTCTTGTTTCCTTTTGCCCGATATTCAGCTGATTTTAACAACGGCCCAACAACAATACCATCACCCATAGCATCAGCTGTGCTCTCTAGAATGTTGATAGGATGTTGAATAGCTTTCTCCCAGTCTGTGTATTCGTTTTCTATAACATAAAATATCTCTTGTAAGTGATATGTGTATACGTTCTTTACTAATGTTTGAAACAGGTTGTTTCGACGGTCTTCCTCAATACCATAACGTTCTTCGTTCGCTGAAAACTTGAAATAAAATTCCATTCTGGAGACACCCAGCAACAGATCATATTGATTATACAGGTCGTTGTAATCTCTCATCAATACCTCAGGCTCATTCGGTATGACTATTCCATCAACAACTGGTCCGAAGGCTGTTAGATAATCTGGAACAGTTAACTCAACTTTCAATATATGTTCTATAGGTTGGTCTCTCAAGCATTCTACCATGACAATATTGCTGACTGTTGAGCAACCCAGCTTGCTAGCCAGCTGACGAGTAAACTCTGGGGCCTGTCTGGCTATTGCCCAGGGGCTAAGGGCAGACCCGCTGTGCATAATGCCGCGATGAAATAATCCTGTAAGAAAAAGATAATAATAAGTCGACTTAAAATGGAAATGAGTGTTTTCCTTTAAAATTTTATTTAGTCTCCGAATTTTTATCTTAGCTATTCGTTCACATCATAAATACATTTATGTACATAAGCATTTACTTTCAATAAAAGTCTACAGTAGAAGAAAACTCGCCTCTTTCAGGAACAAGGTCTACCTTCCAAAGGGGGGGGGGTCTGTTTTACTGAATACATACATATACTGCACTAATATATCAGTGTGTACAAAATATATTATGCCCCAACCCCCATCACAGATACCCTAGATGTAAAGTTTGTTTGGAAATTTAAAAAAATCCTCTGAAAAGGAGTAGGTGCGCTTGAAAGATTTCGCAGGGAAAATTGCATTTGATAATTCATTGTTGTCTCGAAAGACATATAAACTTTTACATTTTACCTGTAAAGGTTAATTCGTGATAACGGTTTCATAATTTCTTTTTCAAGCTGTAAAGATATTATAACTTGTAAATTTGAGCTTAAATGAAAACAGTTAGGAGACGTCTTACGTGCTGAAAGTAATTAATTAATATTTTTCGCGATTAGAAGGATTAGATGATTCTACTTTAGTCGTGTGATCAAGTTTTAAGAACAAACAAATTTTGATTCTTATTACTGTAGTTGCTGAGTATAATTCCTGATAAGATATGTTTGTTTGGAAGTAAGCACAAAGCTACACAATGGGCTATCTGTGCTCTGCCCACCACGAAGTTAGGATAATTTATTCATCTTGAAATTATTGGTCCTAGTACTTAGTAGCTGTTTAGAACTTTAAACATTGGTCATTTCTTTAAATTATAAATAGAGAATGAAGACTAGTAAACTTCAGTATAGATAATAATATATAGAACACTGTACTTGTAGAGCTTGCTTACTTAAAGATAAGTTAGAGATAGTTTTTTTGGGATAGATCATAGATTAGGAGCAGAACTGAAGGAAGAAATACACGAACTGAATGGCGTTAGGATAAAGGTTACTTTGGGGAAGGGTGAGAATGAAATAGCTGAGTATATAACGGTCACACTAATAAAAAAAATTAAAACTAGAAAAATAGGTTCAGTAAACATTCAGGTACCACTCTTTGATAGGTTTCAACCTTCGGTTGCTTATAGTGAAGAACGAAATGATGAAGAGGCTTAAATAGTGGGAGACTTTTTCATTTAGCTTGCTCTAAAAGTTATTTATTGTAGAAAGCACAGAAAGACCACGACTATAATCTGCTTTCAAGGGGTTAAGGTACGACACATTATAAAAAGTTTAATTGCTGATACTAAAGAACATCATCATTATATCGGATATGTAGGAGCGAATAATGCTGGAAAATATAAATCAGAAGAGCTCCTTAAAGACCGTAAAGAACTTCAGAAGTTTAGGAATAGAATTGACGTGTATTTCTTTCAGGAGCGCTTTTTTTGAATAGATGACGGAATTAATTACTTAGCTTGTTGCGAGGCTTAAATGAAAAAATATCGAGGATATGCTTCGAGCAACAGCTGAGCTGACTCGACCTATGGAATAGTTTTCAGCGTAACTGTGAATTATTGTTCGAGATGGCTCCACTTAAGCAGGTTAAGTAGCAAGATGTACATTACGGATAATTTAAACTAAACTTGCATAGTTGTGAGGGAGAATGGAAAATTAGAAAAGGACAAAATTATTGCATAGCAAGTTCAATGAAGGGCTTCAAAATAGCAGACTTAGAGCATAACAAGTTAAACAATATATCTAAAGACAGAAGTCTATTAGATTAAAAAATACTCTTTATTCTAATATTAGAAACAAAATGGACGCTGTCAGGGCTCTAGTTGAAAGAGAAGACTATGATATAACCATAATTACTGAAATTTGGTTAGATTTGGAAAACATGGATAATAGGAGTTATTTTTAAATTCCAGGTTACAAGTTATTCAATGTTAAGAGGGTGACGAGGTGACTTATTATATACTCTGTTTCAAGAGTAAATAAAACCAGAATTTAGAGCAACAAATATTTCTATTTCTTGCTTTTCAAGTTCATGTATCATACGGTGTTGCAGCCTATAAAGTTCATAATTCTTCTCGTGATTCATGACATGCGCACGTTTTACTGACGTCACGACAGTACAAATTTCAACGTTAAGCGTACCTTATGTGACGTCATTTTAGTGTCTACTGATTGACTGAAAGACAACACATTATTGTATCGAGGTGCGAGTGGTTAAAAACTATAGCCTGGTAGGATTGAAGACATAAAATATGGTAATAAAAAAGTTGAATATATATATAATTTGCAATCAGAGGTTTCAACGGTAGAAAGTTTTTAACTGGCTATTGTTATACGCAGACTGACCGAACAAAAGAGGTGAATGAAGAATTGTATAAGGAGATAAAGATTGTTGCCCATAAGAATAATTACTTAATAAATATATAAAATTTTAATTTAGATACACTCGAATAGTGACGATGAGAGATTTCTTGAAGTGATTCAAAATGGTTGTCTATGCCAAATGGTTAGAGAACCAATCAGAAGGGAGATGACACTTTAGATTATATTATATATTAATGAGGATATGGTTTCAAGAGTTGAACTAAAGGAACAGGGAACAATGATTACTGAATATTGAGATAAAAAGTGGTATTTCAGTTCCTAATTTTCAGAAAGCCAATTTTGGTAACATGAGACAAGACTTTTCACTCATTACTTAAGTTAGGTTTTGAATTTCGCTCAAAACTACACGAGGGCTATCTGCGCTAGCCGTCCCCAATTTAGCAATGAAAGTCTAGAGAGAAGAAAATTAGTTCTCATCACCCACCGCCAACTCTTGGGCAGCTCTTTTACCAACGTATAGTGGGATTGACCGTCACATATAACGCTCCCACTGCTGAAAGAGCGAGCATGTTTGGTAGGACGGAGATTTGAACCCGCGACCCTCACACTGCGAGTCAAGCACCCCAACCACCTGGCCATGCCGGGCCTCACTCATTAGTGAATTTGGGAATAGAGTGATGTTTATTCAACATAAGAATGTCCCTAAAAAGAGGAAAAAAGATAATCGGGAAGGGCGAACCTGATTAGTTTACTAAAGACAAATCAGGACAGATTTCCCATTGCTAGATAGATTAGAAGATTTATGGAACTAGTTAAATTATACTAGAACATCCACAAGAGCTAATGATAAACTGCTAGCTGATAATGTTAAAACTAATAACAATTATTTGTTGAGTGTGTTAAAGGTAAGTAAAATGTTAAAATGGGGATTCGACTCTTAAAGGTTGTTAACAGTGAGTTTTTGTTAAATACTATGAAATGATTGAGTTTTTAAATGCTTTTCCCTTTTCTGTTTTTACAACAACAAAAACTGTGCTCTGCGCACCACGGGTATCGAAACCCGGATTCTAGCTTTGTAAGTTCGCAGACATACCGCTATGCCGCTGGGGCGGCACCTGGGAGTAAAGTTTTATTACTATATAAAAATATGAAAGTCAAAATGTTTCGCTTATATCCAAGTTCACTTTTTCAATATTTCAATACTCCCCATAGAGTCAAAGTCATAGTCAATATCTGCCATAGACTCGTAGTTAAAAATATTGCTTATATCCGGTAGCCCTTGTGTAGCTTTGTACTTAATTAAAAACAAACAAACAATTACTCCCAGGTAGGTCCTTAGATAATGTTGCTAACAAATAGATAGAAGTTTACCTTAAAGATGGTTATATATGTGTAGATAAACTGTGTCATATAAACTGTGTCATATGTGTAGATAAACTGTGTCATAAGGATGGCAACAGCTTCTCTTTTTTTTACCACCAATCGCTATGTTTACTTCTTCAATCGGTGTTGTTTAAGTAAGCAGTATCAACATAAAGATTTTTTTAAAACTGTTACCACTTAAACAAAATCTGTGCAACTGTTCTAAAAATAGAAAAATAAAATAACTAGTAATTTTTGAATGGACTCGTAGCTTCAAACGACAAGAAAAGTTATGTTTATGATGTTCTGAACATTCTGAAATGACCGCTTTTAATGGAAAATAGTTACGCTTTCATATCATTAAACGAGTGGATGGAACGCAACATTGGTGAAAAGATGAATAGTCTCGAATCAATTTATATTTAAACGACCAAATGGAATAAGATGAAATAATTACTGAGCTATCTGTGCATTTGTTAAGTAGTTTTCTGCAGTTTTTCTACTAACCAAAGTGCAAAACAAACGATATAGTAAAGTATAACTTTGAAAATATTTAGCTACATTTTCATACATAAAAAGTAGTTTTCGATCACTTTTTAAAGTTTTGCTTCGAAATGACGATATACGATTAGACAAACGTCACCATGATTGTGTACTGTTTTTAGTTTATGTTAAAGTAGTGTTAAATACAAATGTTTCATGATATAGGTATTATTCAATTTTGTATGTTTAGGAAAATATACCACGAAGATCATCACTGTGGTATTTTGAGTTTTTATATATATATACATTGTATGAAATAGATGAAGACGTTTAAGAATTTTGTTTTCACTGTTTACTGGATAAAGAGGAACAAAAAAATCCATTAGGAAATTTTTGCTAGCAAAATACTTCAACATTTTTAAATGCTGCTTAATTTAATAACAGTTTTGGGAATGTAGATTCATGTAGACGTTCTTTATTATAATAAATAATTAACTTATTATTAAACATCTAAAATAAAAAGTATATCAACATGTTCTTACAAAATAGACCTATTCTACCAAACTGTGTTATTATTATAGAAAACAGGAAAATGCTGCTACAGTTTTTAATGTTAATCCAAAATTAAGCAAATAGTCTATTTGTTAAACACTTGTACATCGCTAACCAAGATTGCCAGATGTTAACATACCAAAGGATGCCTAACAACACATTAAGAAATTTACTGCAGCTAGAAAATGTCGGAGTTGCTACGGCAACAGACTATAAAATCCACCCTGAATAGTTCAAGCTAGAGTTACCATGCCAAATTTGTCCTT